CCATCTCTCTGCTTACTTTGATTTGTTCCAAAAACTCAAGGGCTTTTTCCTTTGCAGCCTCAAAACCTTCAGTGATTATTCTAGGATGAAGACCCTGTAATAAACAGACAGTGCAAAAACCATCACTAACACATCACCAATTAGAAAATGCTATAGTTCATGAACGTTCAGATAATTATTTGAAGGGATATTGTGGATCATTCATACTTCTTAATGCAATTAAAGTAATATGATGTGCTGACTTTTTGAATACATTTAAAAGGACAGAATACTCCTTTCAATGCAGAGGTAAAGAACAGACTTTACTCTAGCACAGAGTCAAAGCCAAGAGAACTACAAAGCACACTTGGGTGTTCACTGTGCATCCACCAGGAATAATTCTAGACTCAAACCTGTGTCCTAAACATCTGCAGTCAATAGGAACATTTTTCTGTAGGTAATCTCACTTCACATCTTTTAGCAATAAAAGTAAATAAATGGAGACTAAGAGTCTACTTTCTCTTGCCAGGTAGTTCTGACAGATTAGTATTCAGAGGTTTGCTTTAACCTTGGAACTAACTACTCAGAGTTAAAAATGCTATAAAATCCTTATTTAAGGCGGGCACCACGTTTCATGCCTACAATCCCGGCTAGTCAGGAGCATTGCTGTATGAAGCCAGTCCAGGCAAACAGTTCTCAAAACTATTGAAAAAAACCCATCACCAAAAAGGCTGCTGGAGTGGCTCAAGGTGTAGGCCCTGAGTTCAAACCCCAGTATTACAAAAAAAAAAAAAATTAGATGTAAACATTTAGTTGATTTTTTCTTATACAAATCATATGAAATATAATCTGACAAAGATGCTCCCACCTTTACATTCTGCTGTGTGGCCTTAGCTACTATTCACACATTAATGTGCACAAATTCACACCAAGCATTTCATGTTCAAAGTAAAAGTAAAACATGGCAGAAACAAGACAGGCAAGCATACCTCAGAAATGTAGAGATCTGCCTGCTTCAGCAGCTCTCCAATGATGAGGACATTGGAGGTAGTACCATCACCAGTTATGTCATCCTGGGCCGTTGCTACTTTTGCTATTAAGGAGGCTGTTGGATGTTGAATTTGCTGAAAGCAGAGAAAGAATTACTGAAAAAACTCAAGGAAATCGGTGAAGGGCATCTTTAAATTGTCCAAGATGTCACTAGATATGACTTCAATTTAAAAGGTTCAAGTAGCTGCTTTGCACATCAATTTATGATAATCAAAACTCTTGTGTAGATTTGGTAACTTCTTAGATTTCCACTTTACTGAAGAAGAAACTTAAGATGAAGCTAAGGTATACTCAAGATGACAAATAGCACAAGAAATTCACTGCTTCACGTGTTCACTTTATAACTACGTTATGCTGTAATGTTTAACTATTTCTGTATTTAAATTTCCCAAGAAAAAAACAAAACTAAGAAGCCACACAGCTATGGCTTTTTGGTATCAAATATATTTAAACTATGGTTCCACTTGTCTCATGAGCACAGGCCACCACTTAGCACACTAAAAACAAACAGAAGTGTCATAATCCTGTGTGTATTAGACACAATAAAATATGTATGTTAGGTTATGATAAAAGTAAGTAAGTAAGGCTGGCAGAGTGGCTCAAGAGGGAGAGCACCTGCCTCCCAAGAGTGAGGCCCTGAGTTCAAACCCCAGTACAACAAACAAAATCTAAATTAACCTAATAAAAACCACTAAATTTCACTCTCAATTCAAATCAGAGACAAGCCATTTCCTTTTCTTGGATTTGAATTGCTAGGTTTAAATTTGAATTGTGAGGTTTAAATAGAGTATGACAGACGTTCCTCTCAATTTAATTTTTGGTTCTCCTGGGGGGTTTGAACTCAGGGCCTCACACTTGCTAAGCGGATGCTCTACCACTTGAGTCACTCCACCAGCCCTTTTTGATATTGGGTGTTTTCCAGATAGGGTCTCTAGAACTATTTGCACTGGCTGTCTTCAAACCTTGATCCTCCTGATTTCTGCCTCCTGAGTAGCTAAGATTACAGGAGTCAGGTGTCCAGCTTAATTTATTGTTGATCCATGGCACTTAAAAAGAGAGACAGAAGCAGGAAGTAGTGAAGAGGTCTGGTAGAGATGAATCAATTCAGGTTGTAATACACATGTGCATGGAAGCAATGTTAGGAATCTCTCTGTATAACTATCCTTATCTCAAGCTAGCAAAAACGCTATGTCTTTCTTATTATTGCTTATGCCTTCTCTTCAACAAGAGGGCAGAACAGGTTCTGCCTGGAAGGGAGAGGAGGGGACGGGACAGGTGGCAGGGGAGAGAGATGGCCCAAACAACGTAAGCACATATGAATAAATGAATAAACCAAAAAAAGAGAGAGATTGTGTTTCCCGCAGCTGAAGGTGGCAACATGAAATTTAACGGAAGAATTGGCTGTTTTCCCAGTAATACCAAAGAGAAAACAAACAAAAAACATCACTCATTTTTTAAATTTCTTCTTTTTTTCCTTGTGGTGTTGGGAACCCTACAACTCCAGCCTGAAAAATTCCTGTTTTTAAGAAAAGGTACTGTAGGTGGGGCGGCTGGAGACTCGTACCAGCTATAATCCTAGCTACTTGAGAGGCTGGGATGGGTTGGAGGCCAGAGGGAGCAAATAGTTCGCTAGACCCCATGTCCAAAATAACTAGAGCAAGATGGACTGGAAGTGTGGCTCAAGGGGTAGAGCCTGCAGGTGAAATCCCAACACGCGCCCCCCAAAAGATACTGTAATCATCCTGCTGCCCATCCGATAGCGTCAACCGACCTTCATTTCTGAGGTTGTAATTAATCTTAGTAATTACAGACTTCTCTAAGGCAGACCTGCAAATGGAAAAAGGTCAGGGATTCGGGCGTAATGGGCCTGTCACACTCCGGGCCTCACTTTCCTGTACGGTCAGTATTACTACTAACCACATTGCTTTTCTGCTCTCCACTCAAAACCCAGGCGAGTAATTTCTCCCACCCCGACGGTGAGTATTAGAAGCCTTTCTGCAAGCGGCGTGGGCCACGGAAAAGACCAAGCCCTTTCGGACGTAGCGTGACAGCCTCACCATTTCGTGAAGAAGCACGTGGCCGTCTTTGGTCAGCTTGACGTCTCCAGAGCCGGACACGAGCCTGCGCAATGCAGCAACAGACGAGTCAGCCCGCGCAGTTTCCAACGGAAACCAGATTAAGAATCCCGCAAGAACCCTGTTTCCCCCTCCCCCACAGATGTTAGGGCGCAGGGAACGCGGGGCTGATCACCTCCCTGCAAGGGATCGGTGCGATGGCCACGGGGTGGGGCCGCGCACGCGGGCAGCTTTGTCCTCGGAGGCCACCGCACCGCTCAAGAGAAAACGGCTGGGACTCGCGGATGGGCTCTGTGCAAGACACAGGCCGGACCGTGAGGAGCCGCGAAGAGGGGTCTGCGGAAGCCCGGGGCGAGTCTCCGGTCCCCGGCCCGCCAGGCCCTCCCGCCGGCGCCGCCTTACATCTTCATGGTGCCCTTAGGCCCCAAGTTGGTCCTCAGCACTTCCTGCAGCCCCCGCGCAGCGCTGATGTTAACCGACAGCGCCGCCTGCGCCCGGGCCACTTCGGCCTTGGGGTTCAGTGTCTTCACGGCCGCCATAGCTGAAGAACAAGGTCCGAGACCAGCGTGAGCAGTACGCAGACCCCGGCTCAGCGTGGCCGGGGAGGCTTCTATCCGGGTCTTCTGGAAAAGTCTGACGCTCCCGGCCCGCCCCCAGCGTGCCCACGCTCCATCGCCATTGGGCCGCGGGTAGGCTGGCGCCCGTTCATTGGCTCGCTGCCGCACGGCGCCTGTGGTCCGCCCCTCGCGTGCCGGCCGTAGCGCCATTGCGCACGGGAGGAGCCATCTGGGCTCGTAGAGGTCTGGAGTCTTTGCCAACCAGTGTTGTCTACCCCGGACCTGAGGACGTAGGCGGGGCGGGCGGCCCGCTCTGCGCGAGGCGGGGCCTGCAGGCGAGGCGTGTGAGATGAGACGCTCTTTGGTGGAGGGCGTAGGGCGGGATTCTTGCCTCCGGGGTTTCGCTCCCGCGTTTCCTTTGTTTATTCCGTCAGTGGCGTTTTCTCCACCGTGAACTAGGTGACCCACAGTGTTGAGGTGCTGTGGGGGACACAGAAGCGAACCCGTAGGATCCTTTCCCGTTATCACACGGTTTTAAGGTCAGGGAAGGTTTAGTAAGGTGGAAAGTGCGAGAGTTTTAGTATTGCGTTGGGAGTTGAGGAGAAGCAAGAATCAGCCCGTTCACAGCGCTCAAGTCGCTGCTGAGGCCTCGGACACCCCCAGTCTGATTTAAAAATTACAATTTCATTAAGCAGTGAGGTCCAGCCCTTGAAATAACTCCTTTTTTTAAAAAAATTGCACAATTTCCCGGGGACTCAACTACTAGAGTGCTTGTCTTGCAAATGTAAAGCCCTGACAACCTCCAGTACCACAAAATAATAATTAACAGGGCAGGTGGAGTGGCTCAAGTGGTAGAGCGTCTGTTTAGCAGATCCGAGGCCCTGAATTCAAGCCCTAGTAGTACCACCATAAAAAAAAACCAACAAGAACAACAAAAACATGCATATGAATTCCTGCTTACAAGTAGAGAAAGGGCGTGGAAGGAAGGGCCTGGCGTTTTTAGAGAAAGGTGACAGGTAAGATGGAGGGAAGAAGGTCGCAAGACACAAACCTGCAGAAACAGATTCAGCTAGTTAAGAAGGCCGGACCCTGGAGGTGGAATGGAGGGTTAATTAGGGGAGGTGACCAAGGATGATCAAGACAGTGTTGAGAAGTCCACACAGGCGATTTGCAGAAGGCTGGGGATGGGTAACTCAGTGGTAGAGCTTTCATGTGAAGGCCCTGGGTTCATTTCCCACCACAGCAAAACAAAAATGTGATGAGAGCGTATTTGAGACGGAAACAGGCATTCCTGATACGGGGAAGAAAGCATCTTAACATGACTCTAAACAAAAAAAAAAGGCGAGGATCGAGTCAAAATATAAACGCTGACTATACAAGAAGTTCAGGATGGACTGGGGTGTAGCCCAAATGGTAGAGTGCTTGAGTTCAAACCCTAGTACTGAAAAGAAAAAAAAACAACCCAGGATCTTTTTATTTTGCGAACCTCCCCAGATTAATATGTCTATAAAAAGGAGATGGTGCAGAAACATACACATATATACAAATATAAATATGCACATATATGTGTATACAGATAATAAAAGGCATGTCCAGTGCCTTATTTAATAACATATACATCATTAAAGGACTAAAAGGATATACCTCAAAATGTTTTCAATTTCTCCATTTTTTTTTTTTTTTGGTAGTATTGGGGTTTGAACACAGGGCTTTATGCTTGTTAGGCAGGCATGCTATCATTTGAGCCACTCCACCAACTCAAACTATTTTAATAGTAACTATTCTTGTGTGTTAGAATTACAGCTGACTTTTCATTTTTCTTTATTTTTAAGATTTATATATAATTTTTATTTTAAATTACTTATCTTTTGGAGTGCTAGGGATTGAGCCCAGGGCCTTGTACATACCAGGCAAGTGCTCCTACTAACTGTGCTATAACCTCAACCCACCTCCCTCCTTCCCTCTCTCCCTCCCTTTCTGCTGTGCTGGGAGGTCCAACCCAGGGCTACATGCATGCTATACAAGTGCTCTACCACTGAGCTGTACCGCCAATCCTTCATCTTCCTTCCTGCCTTCCCTTTTTCCCTCCCTCCTTCCCTGTCTTCCTCTCTCCTTCCCTCCTTCTCTGGGTTTGAACTCAGGGCCTTGCATTTGCTAGGGAAAGGTTCTACTATTTGAGCAATACCTGCAACCCTCCACTTTTCTTCATTTTCAAAATGTGTTTATGATCACTTAACAAATTTAGTTCAAATGTTAATAGGTCAATTCTTTTTGGTAGTTCTGGGAATTGAGCCTAGGGCCTTATGCATGCTAGGCAAGTGCTCTGCCAGGAGCCCCCCCAGCACTAAATTTAAATAGAAAACATATGCATATAGTAAAAAAAAATGAAAGTACATATCACCTAAGAATACTTGAGGTACTGTATTTTAGTGAATTGTTGAATCATTTCTGTATTGTATTTGGGAGTAACAGACATTTTTGTTAACCATCACAAGGTACAGATTTTTTATAACATCTGACATTCAACTTGAATCGATTGTCCTAAATTGCCATAGTTTTAAGGTAACTAGTCATTATTGATTCGGGGTTGCACTGCATATCTAGTATTTCTCATTCCAGCAGTTTCTGTAAAGGGGCAAGTGTGATGATAAGAGGGGGGCTACCTCCTACTTGTTTTACTGAGTCTCACCATACCCTGGCCAAGGCCTGCTGCTCCATCTTTATTCATTATTCATCTTTACTGTTAGCTTCTGACAACTAAGCAGGAAAATACAACACACTTAGTTTGATTATAGATACACACAAGCTTGAATATTTCTGCACTGAAAGGAAAGTCATATAGTTTATTACCACCCGCTGCATTTTGTATAGTATCTTTTTTTTTCAGTACTGAGATTTGAACTCAGGACACACACCTTGAGCCACTCCACTAGCCCATTTTTGTGATGATTTTGTTTTCAAGATAGGGTCTCACAACCTATTTGCCCCAGGCTGGCTTCGAACTTCCATCCTCCTGATCTCTGCCTCCTGAGTAGCTAGGATTACAGGCATGAGGACCACTGGCACTTTCTGAGGGATCTGCTCTATGACCATTCTGTTAACTGCATGAGAAAAAAAAATGTATGCCAGTTTCAGTAAGGCTAAGAACCAAGAGTTTGAATGTCTGGAAGAAAATAAAAACAATACTGCTGATTTGTTCTATATTAGTGACTTTCTGGTGTTTCTAGGTTTGCAATAAACTTAGGGCTTATTTTCTTTAAAAATTGAAAGTACAAAAGACTTCTTTGAAAAATCTCCCTCTGCTATCATCCTTTATCTTCATAAGTGTTTTCTATCTTTGCCAACTTGATAGATGAAAATATTAAAGTTTTGTTACTGAAAGTGAAGTTTAAGTTTAAGTTTAGCACATATCAAATTTATTGTAAGAGCCATTTGTAGTTCTTTTCTGACAACTGTGTCTAGTCTGTTTTTGTTTGTGTTAGTACTGGGATTTGAACTCAGGGCCTCACACTTGCTAGACAGGTGCTCTTACCACTTGAGCCACTCCAACAACCTTTTTTTTTTTGTGATGAATTTTCTAGAGATAGGGTCTCACCAACTGTTTGCCCAGGCTGGCTTCAGACCCTGATCCCTCCTGATCTCTGCCTCCTGAGTAGCTAGGATTATAGGCATGAGCCACCAGCGCCTGGCTAGTCTGTTTTCTAGTTGAACTGTTACAGTTTGGGGAGTTCTTTATGTGTGTGGAAAATGTCCCTTAAAGATCCTGTTGCAATTAACTTGTTCTGATATTATTTGTATTTTGTACGTATTCCTTTTTTGCAATTAAACATTAAAATTTTTTTCTTTCTTTTTTTTTTTTTTTTTTT